AAGGTAAAACATTAATTTCGGTAAGTCGAAAAAACTGCTAAAAACGACCACAGTATTCGAAATATTCGAAATAATTTTGTTGCCTGAAGATACTATCAAAAAATTAAATACTAAAATTGTTTTTTATACCTGTTCCACGTGGAGCTGTTACACCCGACATCATTAAACAAAATATGGTGATTAAAATACAAATAATGCTTTTCAGATTCATTTTTTCAAGTAGTTAATATTACTAAACACCAAGGATGTAGAATACTTTACTAGAGGAACAGTACGTTTACTGCTTACATTATATAGAGAGATATGTGCTGCACAAAACTTGAAAACATTTATCTTGTTTGGTAGGTGAGGGGAGTAACATTGTTCATTGTTTATGTAGTGTTATTGTGTTCATTGTTTGATAAATACATTTCGTGTACTATAGTTACGAATAAAGTTAATTTTATCATTATGCATTAGGATTTCATAAACATTTTTAAAACAATTTAAGCCCGGCATTTTCTTTTTTTTTAGTTACAGATGTACACAGTCTTGAACCCAGAAAATACCATTAACCCTTTTACCTATTGTATTTATTTGGCACAGTTGAAATTTAAATTTTTGGTAAATTAATATTTGTATTGTACAAAACACATCTATACGTTATAATACATAAAATACCATAATTTTCGCAATGACTGTTGCAATGTAAACAAATGAAAAATACATGTTGGTGTTATACAGCATAAGTTTTAACATAATATGAGCAGCCATATTTTACATTAACATCTTTGATAGATTTGGTAGTTCCATATTGTTACAAATATTATAGTAAATACACATTTTTTATGAAAACTTATAATAAAATATCTTTTTACCAACACATACACATGTTTTAGTTGGCATAACAAAATCTTATAATAAAAAATAGTTCAAACATTAAAATAGGTGCCTAGACAAACGGAAAAACATAATACGTTAAACAAATACACTTGTTTTCGACAATGGCAACTTTTTGAACAGCTGTGGCCTAGATAAAATAATAACGTACAAAAAGCAACTGAATATTTTACTTTGAAATGTACAAACATTTTAAACTAAGCGGTAAGCCTAAATGAAAAAAAACAAAACGTGTTTTTGTGATTCACACCTAGAACAAAAAAAAACAGTACACCTGGGTCGGGGAATAGGTGGGACGGAGAGTAGAAAAACTAGTCTTTTTGAAAGATTTAAATTTTTAATGTTTGTAAAATTTGTAGCATATTTGCTGTTTTGAACTACATTTGAAGTGCATATATTGTACATAGCACACATAGTATATATATATTATAGTATACAGTCATACAGGCGCTTATATTTTTAGTACACTAAGACAATTGTTTGTGTATAACAATACGTATGGTAGTACAATATTGTTACAAATATTAAAGTAAATACAAATTTTGTATGAAAAACTTATAATAATTAATTCTTTAATTTACGCAGTTAACAAAATAGTATTGCTATACCATTTCTGTATACTAAAATTATATGTAGCATTAAGTAATAATTATAAATGTTCACATAAGGACAATTTAATAGAATAATATTTTTGTATCATAATACACAAATTATTTATTCGCTATAATTATTTGAACATCAGCATTTTACGGTCTTATAACAAAATAGTTTAAACATTTAAATAGGTGCCAGGGACAGACGGCAAAACAAAATACTTTAAAAAATGACACTTGTTTTCGACAATAACAAGTTAAGTTAAGAAACTTTTTGAACAGCTGTGGTCTAGATGTATACTATTTTAAATAAAATAATAACGTACAAAAAACAACTGAATATATTACTTTGAAATATACATACATTTTAAACTAAGCAAAACGCTTATACGAAAAAAACAAAAATGTGTTTTTATGATTCACACCTAAAATATAAAAAAATAAGTACATATGGGTCGTGGAATAGGTGGGACGTAGAGTAGAAAAAACTAAAAATATTATGTTACAATTATTATAGCAAACAACCATAAATGTTTAATATATTAAATATTCTATAATATATTCAACTTGTATGTTTGGTTAAAATATCTTTATTAAATAATGTTGTTTCACCACTTATAATTACATGCAGGCAGAGGTAGAAATGAAAAATAAAGGGCTAGAAAAAAAAATCACTTCAAATATACATGATAAGCAATAGCCACATAGTTAATGTTTACATTGTCAAAACAATACATATCCGAATATATTATACTAAAAAATATGTATTCATAAAAATACAGTTTTATTTTACACAATTTAAGTACGTAAGAGAAGTGTTTTAGATCCCATAACCCCCCCCCCCCCCCCGTCTTAAATCATTTACATACAATTAAGTTGAAATTTAAATGTTTGGTAAATTAATATTTGTGCTGTACAAAACCCATCTATACTTTATCGTGCATAAATTACCATAATTTTCGCAATGTAAGCAAATGAAAAATACATGTTGGTGTTATACAGCATAAGTTTTAACATAGGTAATATGAGCAGCCATATTTTACATTAACATCTTTGATAGATTTATTATTGTTTTTTAAGAAAACAAGTACTTTGAGCGTACATTATGTATTATAAGATAATAAGGGAATCTTAACGTATAAACACAATGACGATAAAATGTATTAACTAGGATATTATAGTATAAGATACCCAGTAATGTGCAAAATATGAATCATAATTATTTTTATAATATAGCTAGAGGGTATGATATTTTAGCTTTGTATTTCAAGTTATTTTATTATTTTGAGTATTGTATTGTGTTCAGTGGCTACAACACAGACTAGAATATTTAATAATTTAACCAATAAAAAATTAGCACATTAGACTAAATCCTTTTCAAACAGGGCTATGTAAATTTATTGTTGAAAAATACTGTATAGGTATTATAATTTAAGAAAATAATTTGTTGGCATTTGATATAAAATTTTAGATTAAATTTTATTTGTATTTTTTGTTTATTTAAAAATATACATATATATATCCTATAGTTAAACCTTATTATAATATATCTTATATTGTTCAAATATGTGTTTTCATATTAAAGAAAAAAATACGTAGGATACGCATACGATATGTGTAACGTTATGATGACTTAAGCTCGACTAATTTTGATAATGCAAAATAAAACTCAATTAAAAACATGTCTATATAAAATAATATTGTTCCTGGACGGAGCTGTTTATATAATTTCAAAAGACATAAGTTAGCTTCAATATATTCTTAATAAATTTGTTTTCACAAGCTCAAACTCAAAGTATTTAGTTTGGCCTTATATGTACTTAAATGTTAGAACCATTTATTTTCTTGTACTATAGAACATTGATTTTACAATATTATAATTACAATTATAAACGAGATCGATCTAGTTTTTTTCAAATGGCTACAATTTTTTTTTAATTCTTAAAGATGTCTAAAAAATGTTTATTATAAAAATAAATTTAATTTATTAATATCAAATACTTCGGTGAAATAACAGTGTTACCGTTGCACTAGATCTATCTTCACTTTAGTTTTCATACATTAGGTTCTTAAACTGAGCCAAAAAAATGTAATGTAATGTAAAAAAGGGTTGTTATTATTGCACTCTATATATAAAATTTGAAAAATTAATAATCTTAAAAAGTTGTGGTAATGTATAGACTAAGAAGAAGTGTTTGGTGTATCGATATTAAATTAAAAATAATAAAATGCCGGGCTTAACATTTTTTAAAAATATAAATGAAACCCTAGTGCATAATGATAAAACAGACTGGCATTATTAAACAATATGTTAAAATAACACGGCAGTATCAATAAATTGATTTATTTCGGCCATTGACTAGTCTTTAATAATCATTCCTAGCCCTTTATAATACTGATTGAATCGTATATTTATTCATCGAACGATATCAAACTAAAATAAATTATATTTTAGACATTATCTTTGTTAACCATTCTTAGTCTTTAGAATAATGATTTAATTGTATGTTTTGAATCTAACGGTAACAGAGTAAACTATACATTTTACAGCACCTGTATGAAAAACTTTACATGACTCATAATATATTATTCATTTTGATGGAACACTTAAATAAATAAGTTGCTTAACAAAAGGTATAGTTTAGCTGTAATAAACTAGGTTATAGAACCAAAAACAATAATTTTATGGTTTTTATTTGCAACATTAATACACAAAATATACTTTTTTGGCCAAATATTTTCGCAAACAATGGACACATACTGCATACACAACAATAATACATTTACAATGAACAATGTACAGTCTCTCCATCTACCAAATGAGACAAACAATTTTGTGCAGCGCATATCTTTGTATAAAATTTAAGCAAATGTGCTGTTGCTCTAGTATAATATTTAACATCTTTGGAGTTTGATTTTAGCTTAAAATCCAAAAGTTCATATTTAATTTTGCATTTCAAATTTCATACATTTAAAAGATACTATTAGAGTATAATAATAATATATTTAATAATTTAAAAAGATTATTCTGATTGTAATATCCGTATTTTTTATGTCAACGTATACAGGTACATAAAACAATAATTAGCATACAAATGTAAAAAAAAATGTTATACAAATGTATTTTTCATGTTTTAGGTGTTCATGGTAGTAAGTTTAAAATTAAATTGCTCTTAATTATTATTAATTGTTTTTCGATAAAGTGTAATAGTAGTTTCAAATGACTTAACTTACTTTTAAAACAATATTTAAGCTGACCATATTACCTAAATAGGAAATTGAAAATGACATGTTTAGTAATGTTTGTTAGGTACTGTTAATAAATAAATAAATACAAAGCTATTTTTTGCGTTTCCGCTGATAAAAATGACCGTAGTCATAAATAAAATTATGTGTTTATTAGTAATTATATACATTTTATTTATCCTGTAATAATATTATTTGAAAAATATAACTTGTAGCTAAAATAAAATTTAACGCTTTTGGATCAAAATTAAAATACATAAATTATCATTTAATATTTCAGGTGACCCGACAACTCCTAGTAAGTCTTTGATACTTTGCTATAATTTATATATGTTAAGTTAAATAAGTAAAATTGAATATGGAATTTTATTTTTTGTTTTTCAAATGACTGTAAGCTGAAAGTTAATATGAGATTTTGTGCTTTACAAATATACTGGAAGTTTTAAAACGATTTCCAATAAAGCTTAAAATGTGTATAAAATGCTACAAATACCTTACATTGTTGAAAATAAGAATACGTTTTCCATGTTAATGAGCATAATATATAATTCTGTTTATCTAGAAATAATGTTATTTTAAAAATATTACTTGTAGCTAAAATAAAATAAATTATTTTTGGATCAAAATTAAAATATGTAACTTATCATTCAATATTTCAGCTGACCCGACACCTCCTAGTAAGTCTTTGATACTTTGCTATAATTTATATATGTTCAATGAGTGAAATTGAATATAGAATTTTATTTTTCGTTTTTCAAATGAGTGTAAGCTGAAAGTTAATATGAGGTTTTGTGCTTTACAAATATACTGGAAGTTTTAAAATGATTTCCAATAAAGCTTGAAATGTGTGTAAAATGCTACTAATACCTTACATTGTTGAAATTAAGAATACGTTTTCCATGTTAATGAGCATAATATATAATTCTGTTTATCTAGAAATAATGTTATTTTAAAAATATTACTTGTGTCTAAAATAAATTAATCGCTTTTGGATCAACATGCATAGACAATGTGTCCCTCAAAGACCTGACAAATAAAATAAATTCTGTTTATATTACTTTTCAAGCTATTAAAGGTTAAATAGTAGAATGGGAGGTGAAGTGCGGTAGATTAATTCGTGCAGATATGAATAACTCTATGTCTTCACTCTACCACACTCCCCTCCCATTTTACCCTTTAACCTTTAATCACTTATAAAGTAATTATCCAAAACTAGTTGTCGACCAGTCGAAATTCTTAAATTAAAAATAAATGTAAAAGTAAAAAAATAAAAAATTGAAAAATGTATAACAGTTAAGAGTGATAAAAACCGTGGTGTTTATAGCGCAAATGAGTATAAATTATTAAAAAAAAAAAAACATAAAAATTTAAGCTAGAAAAAAAGTTATTTCATTTGTGAGGTCTTTGAGAGACACCCTGTATATAATTTATAAATTATGCATTTGGATAGAAAAATATATTTAAGTAATGTTTTTTCGATATTTCAGCTGCCCCGATTAAAAGTAAGTTTTTCATTCTTCGACCTAACTTATATAATATGTTCTACGTCATTTTAAAAACATTACTTTTAGTTAAAAGGAAATATATATGTAATTTATACATGATGCATTTAGATAGAAATATATATTTAAGTAATTTTTTTTGATATTTTAGAACGCCCGCGCGAGGAAGTTAAAGGTTATGCGGACGATCAAAGTAAGTCTCTGATATATTAATAACTTATATAATATATATGTTGTATAAGTGAAATTAAGTATAGACTTTTTATTATTTGTTTTTCAAATGACTGTATGTTGGGTGATAATATCAGTTTTTGTGCTTCACAAAGATACTAGCAGTTTAAAAATTATTGTGTATATAAAATGTACAAAATGTACAAGTGTGCCATAATTCGTGGCTAACAAAGTTAAACGCTTTAGATCAACAATTAAAAATGATTATATCAATATGTAGGTACTTATAAAATACAATAAATTAGACAAAATAAGTATTTCGGTTCTTTTTCAGATGGGTCAGACGATGTAGGGAGCGGCCGCTAGCGATTTTTACCAAATAAGCTGCAATATCCAAGATCCGTGTCACATTCTAAAAAAAATTAGATTACTAATTTTAATATATTTAAAAATGTTCTTCTTTGTTAATCATAATTGTCTTCTAATAACAATGTATTCCAAGTAACATATTTTGTTAACTATGAATTACATGATAGGTCCATTACATATAGCTGTCTACTAATAAAAATAATATTCATTAAATAAGTAAATTTGTATTTTATTATTTAAAATGTATTCGAACTATTTGCTTTTACTTCTGATTCCTCATCTTGTCATTATTTCTTTATTATAAAATATCTATGGAAATGCGGTAAGTGGTGTCAATTGTTTAAATTTATATGTTATAACAAATATAAACATATAATTAATTTTGATTATTTATTATCTTTACTACATAGAAAATATTGTTTTTTGGCCATTCAAAGCCTAATCATCTAATGTGCCCTTATTTATTTACTTACTACTAAGTTTTATTATTATATTCGTTGAAATAAATATATTTTTAATAATGTCCGATGATTTATTTGAACATTATTTTTCTGTATTATTTTAAAAGTAGGATTTTATGGTATTTTTTTAATAAATAGTGCATTGAGTTACCAAAATTTTCAGCGCGAAAAAATGCTCTGGTATCAACTAAGAGAATTTGATTATTTTACAACAATTCTAAGACACTTGGGTTTTGATTTGTGTGACATTTTTTTTGATGTGAACGAAATTAACTATTTTCTTTAAAAACGACTGTGGTTTTCTGACAAAAAATACCGAATTATCATCGTTGTAATTATTAATATAGTTATACTATAGAGTATAGTTATTATTATAGTTATACACTATAGTTTAAACACATTGCGAAAAATGTCCTACCGGTGTTGGGATTTAGATCTGATTGCCTCCAAAAAGGCGCGACAGTTTACCTCCACGCTGCGGTGTACCTCCACCTGTGGCAATCACTCGTTATCACACAAACACACACTATCAGAAATCTGTCTAGAAAATTTCTTGTTATGTTAAATGGCTGTACTGTGGCTTAAAAGATTCACAAATTTCTCAGCTTGCCTTTTAACATTTACATATGTGTTGATTGTACAAATATTTGTGTATAGGAAGAAAAACCTAGGTTTACCCAAGGTATGAACAACACAAAAACACACTAAAACCTACATAAATTCTACATTTCTGCATGGTTGTGGTAACCTAGGTGACCATGGTTGTGGTAACCTAGGTTACCATGGTTGTGGTAACCTAGGTTACCGTGGTTGTGGTAACCTAGGTTACCATGGTTGTGGTAACCTAGGTTACCATGGTTGTGGTAACCTAGGTTACCATAGTTGTGGTAACCTAGGTTACCATGGTTGTGGTTACCTAGGTTACCATGGTTGTGATAACCTAGGTTACCGTGGTTGTGGTAACTAAGGATTACCGTGGTTGTGGTAACCTAGGTTACCATGGTTGTGGTTACCTAGGTTACCATTGTAGTGAAAACCTAAGTTACCGTGGTTGTGGTTACCTAGGTTACCATGATTGTGTTTACATAGGTCACCGTGGTTGTAGTTACCTAGGTTACCATAGTTGTGGTTATCTAGGTTACCATGGTTGTGGTTACATAGGTTACCATGGTTGTGGTAACCTAGGTTACCATGGTTGTGGTAACCTAAGTTACCATGGTTGTGGTTACCTAGGTTACCGTGGTTGTGGTTTCCTAGGTTACCATGGTTGTGGTTACCTAGGTTACAATGGTTGTGGTAACCTAGGTTACCGTGGTTGTGGTTACCTAGGTTACCATTGTTGTGAATACCTAGGTTACCATGGTTGTGGTTACCTAGGTTACCATGGTTGTGTTTACATAGGTAACCGTGGTTGTGGTTACATAGGTTACCATGGTTGTGGTTATATACACACACATATACACGTATGTTGATTGTACAAATATTTTTATATATGAAGAATAACCTAGGTTTACCCAAGGTATGTCCAACACAAAAACAAACTAAAACCTTCATAAATCTACATTTCTGCACTAAATCCGCTCAAACCTAGACCAAACTCAAGAGAATTTTGTCAGCAATCAGAATATATGGTCAAATTTCCGATTTGTGTGATTTAAATGGTCAAAATTAAAAAAAAAAACCAAAATTTCGATCTTGCTCAAAATTTTTAAAAAACTGAATTTTTTTCCAAAAATACCACTCCAATATGGCTCTACTGTGGCTTAAAAGATTCACAAATGACTCAGCTTGCCTTTTAACCTATACATATGTGTTGATTGTACATATATTTTTCTATAGGATGAAAAACCTAGGTTTACCCAAGGTATGAACAACACAAAAACACACTGAAACCTACATAAATTCTACATTTGTGCATGGTTGTGGTTACCTAGGTTACCATGGTTGTAGTAACCTAGGGTACCATTGCTGTGAATACCTAGGTTACCATTGCTGTGAATACCTAGGTTACCATGGTTGTGGTAACCTAGGTTACCGTGGTTGTAGTTACCTAGGTTACCGTGGTTGTGGTTACCTAGGTTACCATTGTTGTAGTTACCTAGGTTACCATGGTTGTAATCACTTAGGTTACCACGGTTGTGGTAACCTAGGTTACCGTGGTTGTGGTTACCTAGGTTACCATGATTGTGTTTACATAGGTTACCGTGGTTGTAGTTACCTAGGTTACCATAGTTGTGGTTATCTAGGTTACCATGGTTGTGGTTACATAGGTTACCATGGTTGTGGTTATATACACACACATATACACGTATGTTGATTGTACAAATATTTTTATATAGGAAGAATAACCTAGGTTTACCCATGGTATGTCCAACACAAAAACAAACTAAAACCTTCATAAATCTAATTTCTGCACTAAATCCGCTCAAACCTAGACCAAACTCAAGAGAATTTTGTCAGCAATCAGAATATATGGTCAAATTGCCGATTTGTGTGGTTAAACTGGTTAAAATTTTGAAAAAACCAAAATTTCGACCTAGCTCAAAATTTTCAAAAAACTGAATTTTATTCCAAAAATACCACTCCAATATGGCTGTACTGTGGCTTAAAAGACTCACAAATGTCTCAGCTTGCCTTTTAACCTATACATGTGTGTTGATTGTACAATTATTTTTATATAGGAAGAATAACATAGGTTTACCCAAGGTATGTACAACACAAAAACACACTGAAACCTACATAAATTCTACATTTCTGCATGGTTGTGGTAACCTAGGTTACCATGGTTGTGGTAACCTAGGTTACCATGGTTGTGGTAACCTAGGTTACCGTGGTTGTAGTTACCTAGGTTACCGTGGTTGTGGTTACCTAGGTTACCATTGTTGTAGTTACCTAGGTTACCGTGGTTGTGGTTACCTAGGTTACCATTGTTGTGAATACCTAGGTTACCATGGTTGTGGTTATCTAGGTTACCATGGTCGTGGTTACATAGGTTACCATGGTTGTGGTTATATACACACACATATACACGTATGTTGATTGTACAAATATTTTTATATATGAAGAATAACCTAGGTTTACCCAAGGTATGTCCAACACAAAAACAAACTAAAACCTTCATAAATCTACATTTCTGCACTAAATCCGCTCAAACCTAGACCAAACTCAAGAGAATTTTGTCAGCAATCAGAATATATGGTCAAATTTCCGATTTGTGTGATTTAAATGGTCAAAATTTAAAAAAAAACCAAAATTTCGATCTTGCTCAAAATTTTTAAAAAATTGAATTTTTTTCCAAAAACACCACTCCAATATGGCTCTACTGTGGCTTAAAAGATTCACAAATGACTCAGCTTGCCTTTTAACTTATACATATGTGTTGATTGTACATATATTTTTCTATAGGAAGAAAAACCTAGGTTTACCCAAGGTATGAACAACACAAAAACACACTGAAACCTACATAAATTCTACATTTCTGCATGGTTGTGGTAACCTAGGTTACCGTTGTTGTGATTACCTAGGTTACCATGGTTGTGGTAACCTAGGTTACCATGGTTGTGGTAACCTAGGTTACCATGGTTGTGGTAACCTAGGTTACCATTGCTGTGAATACCTAGGTTACCATTGCTGTGAATACCTAGGTTACCATGGTTGTGGTAACCTAGGTTACCGTGGTTGTAGTTACCTAGGTTACCGTGGTTGTGGTTACCTAGGTTACCATGGTTGTAATCACTTAGGTTACCACGGTTGTGGTAACCTAGGTTACCGTGGTTGTGGTTACCTAGGTTACCATGATTGTGTTTACATAGGTTACCGTGGTTGTAGTTACCTAGGTTACCATAGTTGTGTATATCTAGGTTACCATAGTTGTGGTTACATAGGTTACCGTGGTTGTGGTTATATACACACACATATACAAGTATGTTGATTGTACAAATATTTTTATATAGGAAGAATAACCTAGGTTTACCCATGGTATGTCCAACACAAAAACAAACTAAAACCTTCATAAATCTAATTTCTGCACTAAATCCGCTCAAACCTAGACCAAACTCAAGAGAATTTTGTCAGCAATCAGAATATATGGTCAAATTGCCGATTTGTGTGGTTAAACTGGTTAAAATTTTGAAAAAACCAAAATTTCGACCTTCATCAAAATTTTCAAAAAACTGAATTTTATTCCAAAAATACCTAACCAATATGGCTCTACTGTGGCTTAAAAGACACACAAATGACTCAGCTTGCCTTTTAACCTATACATATGTGTTGATTGTACATATATTTTTCTATAGGAAGAAAAACCTAGGTTTACCCAAGGTATGAACAACACAAAAACACACTAAAACCTACATAAATTCTACATTTCTGCACCAAATTCGCTCAAACCTAGACCAAACTCAAGAGATATTTGTCAGCAATCAGAATATATGGTCAAATTGCCGATTTGTGTGATTTAAATGGTCAAAATTTTGAAAAAACCAAAATTTTGACCTTGCTCAAAATTTTTAAAAAACTGAATTTTATTCTAGTAGATGCTATTTGAGAAGTTCTGAAAATAGATTTTTGGCGCTCTGAATTCTTTTTGTCTCTCCGCGTTTGTCTTAAGCATAGCTAAAATGTTACAAAAGTTGTTTTTTTGTGTGATAG